GTTCTCTAATGTTTAGTGCTTCCAATTTTCCGCCAATTTTTAGTTTTCTACTGACCTTATCATAAGGTCCACAAGATCTAGGCCTAGATTCTAGATCTACATCTGGATTTATTATGTCGCTTTGCCTTTCCTTAAACAGTGTTGTAAATATGAAGCCTAATCTACCCTCACTGATGAAAGTTCTGATGGCCGAGTGAACAGTGTGTCTGCGTTTGAAACGCAAAATATTATTTCGTGAGTGTGGGTTCGAATCCCAGTCCCAGCTTTTATGTATTTATTTTTTCCCTTTTTCTCATCCTCCAAACTTACCAACAATTTTCCCCATAATTATAATTTGTTGCTTTTTAGCTTTTTAAAGTGGTAAATAAATCGTCAGTGCTGTCTGTTGTCCTCGTAATCATAACACACTGGGCTAAAAATAGTTTTAGCTGGTCTGATATCCGTGGACGTGGATCTTTTTGAGTCGCCTCTACACCGTGAAAAAACTTCGTACATTAGCCTGGCCTGGAAATGGCTTATTTTGGTGGACACGTAGATTAAAGCAAGTTAGAAAGCAAGCAAGTACTCACGAACACACACACACACACACACACACACACACACACACACACACACACACACACACACACACATACACACACACACAGTCCAAGAGTACGGCAGGCATATTTTATGTATTCATGGGTCAAAGGTACAGCCAATCGTAGCCCGGGTTTACACCCTCAGTGTAGTCGCATGTAGGTTAAAGGCTTCTCTACTTTAACTTCCAGGTCGTCGAGTACAATCGCGGCGGGGCTGTAGTGTGCACTGAAACCCCGACAACGATTTCCAGACCCGACCCGACCTGAACGCGTATGTGGGCACCCCCTACAACCACTAGGCTACCGACGCCACCTGAAGCAGACTTCGTGCTGTTGAGGCTAGAGAGGTGAGCAGAGTAAGCCGCATTCCCCGTTTGGACTTCTCTGTTGACATCCACCCCTTGGCGCTCATATGACCTTATACAGTTGCGAGCGCCATAAAACCTTACTAAAACAAACGAACCTGACACTTCTCGGCGGTATTATACAATTTCATATATTTCTCAGCCATACTTATCACATGCATCATTCTACACCACATTAAACTGTATCTTACAATACCGTACCATATCATTCCACACCACATTATAGCATCCCAGGGGTTCTCGTTGCCTAGAGGTTAAGGTGTTGGCCTCTCATTCAAAGGTCCCGGGATCGAATCCGGGTAGCGACCGAAAACATTTCTTCTCTAAAAATTGTCTCCTTTCACCTCCTTTCCTGCTCTCTAGCAATGTTCTGTCGTCTGCTTTCATTTTCATTTTCTGCCCCCACCCCCTCACCTCTTTTGCCCCCTCCTCTGGGCTCCTGACTCTTTCTGCAGCCTTTCTACTGCTACTCCTTGGCTCCTCCTTAATGCTGTCTTTCTGCCACACCCCTGATCTTCTGGTAGGAAAGATCTACGCCTAGCCTTCTCGGACAAGGGCGAAAAATCTCGGAGGGCCCGTGTGCAAGTTGCGCACGTTAAAGATCTCTTGGTGGTCTAAAATCGATAAGAGTAGGCTTCGGCCGCCACCCGGGCAAAATTCAAAATTTCCTACCAACTGAAAATACTAGGTGTGTCCCGCGCGCTCATATGACCTTATGCAGTTGCGAGCGCCGTAAAACACTTTACAAAAAAAACCCAAAAAACCCCCCCAAAAAAACATACCATCCCATTCCACAACAGACCTTACCACAGCATACTATTCCTTACCATCCCATAGCATCTACTGCCTTACGAAATCATCCATTGTGAGCCAAGTATGTATTGCGCCCTCTTAACATTTTCCCATCTCTGCGTCACTTAGGACACTGGCCCAATGAACTCTTGACCTTCTATGAGAAAAACAGTTGATTTTGTTGTGACACCCGGGCACTTGAAATACGTCAGAGTTATGCATTTATTCTTTGGGGGGGGGGGGGGGGCGTCACATACCGTGGAAGTGTTTTCTGAATTAGAGCAGGGCAGGTGGGGAGGGGGTTGTGTCTGCGTGTGTGTGTGTGGGGGGGGAGAGAGAGAGAGAGAGAGAGAGAGAGAGAGAGAGAGAGAGAGAGAGAGAGAGAGAGAGAGAGAGAGAGAGAAGTCAGAAAGGAGGGGGGTGGGGGTGGTTCAGAGGAGTTGTCGAATCTCCCGTTGTCTTGGTAGAAGATATTCTGAGACGTCTCCTGCGAGCACCCAGGAACTGTTCGGAGACGCACTCCCGCACACAGATGCACTACTTGGGGCAAGGGAGTGAAGGTCAAACTGCGTATCGTTTGCTGGAGATCACACGTATAGCCACTAAAACTGTCGCAAATCAATTATTTAAAAAAAAAATTCAAACCTGACTGCAAATATCAAATTATGGGTTAAATGTTACCGCCTTATTTTTTTTTACTTGGTCTAGAGGCACAAAGTATTTTGATTGGTACATCTCCGCTGGAGACGTCTCCAAATAGATACTGCGCTGTATGGCATGATAATCACGTTTGTGCTTTGTCATGTGTCCTTTCCTGTCTTGAGGTAATCTTGAGTAGATTGCATGTTTCAAGCTGCCACACTACGGGCTAATGAATAAATAAATATAAAAATAACCTCGCTGCTCGACTACTGGCGCGGCTCTGATTCTGTCATTCTGTTCTCGGAGATATACTACATTTTTTCCTTACTCGTCCCCTGGGGGGGGGGGGGCATCAGAACTGTTGCGGAGGAGAGAGGGCGCATTGGTTAGAGTGGAAGTAAAGCATAATGAAACTAAAGAGTTAGCTTAAGTCAGCATGACTGAAGGTACAAAGACATTCCCTTGGTAGCCTGTTGAGTGCGTTACAAAGCCGAGTTCTCTAAATATTATGGATATGAATTAGCAAATTTGGACAAAATCAACCCACCGTGAACTGTTTTGATGAACAGTACCATAACTATATATTGCAGACATTGCCCTCAGAATTTGAAACCATTTATTCTTTTGCATTCTCAAGTCAAGAATGAATTAAAATAGAACAGGAGCACATCTTATGAGAAAACACTATCGCTGAAAACAGTTGCGACCTCTCTTTTATAAAAATTAAATGAAAAAGAACTGAAAGAGATTTTAAACGTGACCTAGCCAAAATGAATTTGTGAGAACCGTAAACTTAAATTGAAAAGAATTCTCTGTTTACTGTTTGTGGATTGTAGAAACTAAGTCATTCATTGTGTAGAATAATCAGACCAGGGAGACGGAGGATTGGTTAGGAAGGAGGAAGCGACACAAGTCTGACTAGCATCCTTATCTCCCTTCTTCATCGAATGTTATTCTTTAGTGGCACCTCCAATCGTCCACACTTATAAAACTTCTTTTTTTTTTTTGCTTTGCAAGTGCCGTAAAACTCAGGCTCAAAATAAAACTAAACTAAACTAAACCAAAGGATGCCAAAGTTTAAATAAATAAATAAACAAATAGATAAATACATAAAGAAAGAAAGAAAGAAAGAAACGCGCTAACTCTGAAGATCCTTTCAGCTTATCATGACATGTTTCTATAATAGAAAGACTTCTGAGGAATCCCAGAGCAGCAGGCTCGATAGCGTTAGAGGAACCGAGGCTGGGGTCAAAGAGGGCAACTCGGACCTTTTGGCCGGCGAGGTCACGCCCTGTAAGGGTAATGTACTGTGTGTCTGTGACATTGGAGGAAGAGCTTTCGTCCTGGAGTAGCATGTATAGTTGGGTTTTTTTTTGGGGGGGGGGGTTTGGGGGGGGGGGGGGTGAGTCTGTGGAAATATTTTTAAGTATTTTGTCCCATCGCGGGCCTGTGAATTTTGTGTATGGGTGTATGCGTGTGTGTGTGCGTGTGTGTGCGTGTGTGTGTGTGTGTAACAGAGAGAGAGGGAGAGAGAGAGAGAGAGAGAGAGAGAGAGAGAGAGAGAGAGAGGAAGAAAGAAAGACAGACAGACAGACAGACAGACAGACAGACAGACAGACAAACAGACAGAGAGAGAAGTGGAGGGAGAGGGCAGAGAGAGAGAGAGAGAGAGAGAGAGAGAGAGAGAGAAAGGGGGGGGGGGAGAGAGAGTTAATCCCGTTTTATAAGTACTACGCTAGGTTAATGTGCTATGCTTTGTCCCTAAAAGTTTATATATCCCTAAGAGCAACAAACAGTCCCCACCACGGTATGAGATACAATATACTTAGTATGGTGTCGACTCAACTCCCCCCTCGACCCCCCACACACATACACACCTCTTCTTCCCTGCCTGCCCCTCTTCCTAAAATAAAAGCATGTAGCTCCTTATATTAATGTTTCTTATTATACTTTGATAGTTACGATCGCCTTTTTAGAAAGTTTTGTTGGTGGGTGTGGGACATGGTCCACTCTTTCTTCTTCTTTTCAACGTTAATATTGTTCAAAATATTATTTTTTTTAAATGCGTTTCAGTCTGAAAGTGACCAATAGCATAATTACTGCAGGGGTTTTCTTTATATTATTTTTGTTTTACTGCAAGTGAACTTGAAACGTAAACACGTAAACACAAAGAACAAAAAAACAAACAAAACGAACGAAAACTCTCTTTAAATCCGAGCCGTGGCCAATTTTGCCTCTTACATAAGTAGTCTAACAGACCACAAAAACCACACATTTTTAGTTTTTGTTAAGATCTGCGCTGACGGTTATCAGATTGAAATACATATCTATCTATCTATCTATCTGTCTATCTATCTATCTATCTATCTATCTATCTATCTATCTATCTATCTATCTATCTATCGATCCATCGATCTATCGATCTATCTATCGATCGATCGACCATCGATCCATCGATCTATAGATTTATCTATCTATCTATCTATCTATCGATCGATCTATCGATCTATCGATCTATCGATCTATCGATCCATCGATCCATCGATCTATCGATTTATCTATCTATCTATCACACGCTTGCCGTTGTGCTAAAATGTGTTTCCAACTCCCACCCCCACAGGTCACCATGAGGTCAAGGAACATACTGGTGCTCGCGATATGCGCACTCACGTTGCCGTATGCACTCTGTCAGGCAGAGAACGGGGAACTCGGGGAAATGGAGCAGTTGAAGAGACTGATAGGAGCTTTGTCCAGACAGGTAAGAACGACCGGTGTTTTATTCATGGTATTATCTTTAAGCCCCGAGGAAGAGAAAGAGAGGAAGGCCGAGATCTACTTGGGAGCGAGATCTAGAGGCAGATCTCAGGCATATTATGGCACGCAGCTGTTGGCTAGGGGTGGAGAAGATTGCTAAGAACAGAGACAGGTGGAGAGACAGTCTTGGTGGCTTATTCTCAATGCCAAGACGAAAAAGGCGAATGATTATGATGATTATCTTTTAAAGAAGAAAGGGATGTGGGCTTGTTGGGGGGGGGGGGGGTGAGAATGTATGAGAATGTTTATGTCTCATGGGGGACAGAGATGAATCAAACATACACATTGACAGCAATAGAAAATCGACTTAGCATAATATTATCTATTACCCTCGTTAAAGGTTTAATTCATACGAAGAAAGTTGGATAGCATAACGTTATTACTGATTTTTGCCAACTGGAAAGGGACATTATTCTTAACAGAATATTATTCCCTATGTTATTTGGTCTTAATACGTGTTCATCTTTTTTCAAAATGGGAGGCAATTAAGATTTTGATTCGCCTCGAACGTCGTGGGTTGTTTTTTTATTTAACAAAATATAACGGACCAGAAGCTTCTTATTGTGTTGCAAGTCTGCCATGGTCTCAAGAAACAATACTGTCGTAGTGCGTAGTGGTCGTATTTTTTAACGAACATTTAATATACTGAACATTTTCACCCTCATTGTCTGGATTAGTTAATTGGAATTTATTGACTATTTGAAATGGTGTTTGTAAGAAACGTATTTCCATCATTCGTTTTGATGTTCTGACTCGCAATACAGTTTAATTCTCCCTATCTCGCAACAAAAGACGAACAGAATGCACTTCCACTCATTGTCATGGCACAGTTACGTCCCTTCCTTTGTTTTGTGCCTACTAAAGAGGCTGGCGGCTGGTGCCCACTGAGGCTCACGTTGTAGGAATGAGGAGAAGGGGAAAAAAGTTGTATTGTTCGTGTGTCGTTGTTTTTGTTGTTGTTGTTTGTTGGTTTATTGTTGTTGCTTTCTTTCTTTCTTTTTTTTTGGGGGGGGGGAGGGGAGGGCATGCACACTTTAAAGGGAACGGAGACGAGCGAAGTGTACAAACAAGCGATACAATAGTACAATCATCTGCAATATGTTTTTTCTTTGTTTTTTTTAAGGTGCATTTTACGCCCATGTTGACACAGCTCAGATCATTTAAGAGGTGGTTTCTGACCCTTCCTGTCAGGGCCAACCTGGACTGAGAAGGATAAAACACAACATCACTGCGGAAAGATAAAGATGCTCGATAAAAATGTTCTCTCCATTCGGGAATCGATTACGGGTCACCTGCCCTTCGACAGAGAAGCGCCTAACCGCTATACCATAGACACAATTTACTCAAGATAATCATAATTAGAGTGAAAGAAAAATTTTAAACAGTGTGATCATTAACATGTGCGCTATTATGGCATGTGCGTAGCACAATACAATAATTCAGATATAATTAAAATAAATAAATAAATTACATTTGAATTCATCTTGGCAGCACTTTTTCTGAAAGCGGGTCCATAGACAGAGAATATGAAATGCGACCTCAAAAAGCCAACGCTGTCACCTACCAGCTCGCACCCCTCCTATCTCATCCAAACATCTCCATGGACACAAAGAGACAGCTTATCCCTTCAATATTCATACCAACATTATGTTATCAGTGTCAGACTTGGACTTTAAGCAAAACCCATGAAAGCAAAATCACCGCATGCCAAATGAAATGTCTCCGCAAAACCCTTAACATTACAAGACAAGACAAGCAGAGAAATGAAGAAGTAAGAGCAGCTATCGGCATTGAGTCCTGCCTGTGTTACCTAGAAAGACAGAGGATGAAATGGTTTGGCCACATGTTACGCCTCGAGAGCCTACAACACCAAGCACTCAGGCTATAAAGGAAGAGGAAGGCCACGCAAAAGGTGGATCGAGGGTGTCAAGGAAACCTTAAGAAAACACAACATCACAACTGAAAGAGGCGCGGAGTTGGCCTACTATAGAAAACTGCATCTCCCCTCGACGCGTAACGGCAACAGAGGATGAAAAAGTAAAAGTATTGATCCCAAAAGGGCAATTTGGTTTACAGTGGCAAACATACCTGAATACATAAATATATAATTATAAATACATGAATACGTAAATACATGTACATGTATACATAAATAGCCTCCACAATTACACCGATACAGAACAATTTTACAACCATGCCATTGCTGGTCGCCACTGTGCAGCGCCCTGGGTTTTTTGGTGTTTTTTTTTACTAGGGTTGTCGTATCTTGCTCAAGGACACACCCCTGTGACCACCTATCTGATCCCCGTGTCACAGACGCATGCTTGATTTTACTCTTGAGTCTAAACTCTCTACTCACTTATCCACTGGAGCGGCAAATAATATTTTATTTTTAGGGTATTATACAGGCCGAAGGGCTAGAACAGAAATGGCCGCTGGATCGGAAAAGTGTGGGTATTATACGACTTTCTCAAATTCTTTTAACAGCTGGGTGTGTCTAATTCCTCCAGGTGATGCTGCAGCAGGTGGCAGCCGAGGAGAAGGTCCGCTCAGACGGGGCATCAGGAATCAAGCAGGTACGCGCCACCTCCAGCGGGCCCCTCACCTACAACGTCAACGCCCACACTGCCTCCGGCGTAGCCTCAATACACGACCACACCAACAACCGGATCACGCTAGGACAGGGAGAAGGTGTGGTAAGTGCTCACTTTTTATCATCATCATCATCAGCAGCAGCAGCAGCAGCAGCAGCACCAGCACCAGCAGCAGCAGCAGCATTACCATTGCCTTTCTCACTCTGGATCAGAATACAGACCACGAACAAACACTTTTCTCCTTTCTCACATCCTGGGTTTGTCGCTTGATATTATTCCATGTCGTCTCACATTTCTGTACATTCTGCTCACTTTTGCAGGACAAATAAACATCCTACGTCTGTGTTACTCTTCATCGTTCCGATCCATTTGTTTCTTCCCACTGGTCTGGTCTCCAGCTTCTCATTCAAATTATAATATTATATATATATATATATATATATATATATATATATATATATATATATATATAATTTGTGTATGTTTGTGTGCGTATGTCTGTGTGCGTTACACGCGTGCGCTGTGTGTGTGTGTGTGTGTGTGTGTGTGTGTGTGTGTGTGTGTGTGTGTGTGTGTGTGTGTGTGTGTGTGTGTGTGTGTGTGTATGTGTGGCATGATTTCAAACAAAAGAGGACCACTGTAACTGATAAAAAAAACAGCTTCTTTCTGCTTAGAAATTGTGAACGCAAAAGAACAGGCTTGTCTCCTCATCCATCTATCCGCTAGTGATTCTGTCGCTTTGACGGAATTTTTAAAAACAAAGGGGAACTCAGGTTTCATCTGTCAAGTCAATGTGTGTTAGTCACTTGGGCCTTTGGGGTTCAAAAACGCTGAGCAATTTTGAAAAAAAAAATCACCGTGTCTCTTTTATGCTCAACGGATAGTAAAGCTGGTAGCAAACGGACACACACGTTTCATATGAAATCCTCCACGAAAGAAATTTTGCACGATCGAAAAAAAACAACAACCCAGTTCAGATAATATATCACTAGGTGCTTGCATAGAGGTATGGGGATCTTGAGCAATGTCGTTCAAGATAACATCAGTGGTTTTCTTGTTCACTGAGGAATCGTGGATGGTCAGAACGTGAGTCCGCGAAAATAGTAAACCCGTTAAATATTAACAATTATTTGATATCTTTATTTTTGAATATGAAATTTTAATTCTCGTGTGGGTAGAATGTTTTTAAAGTACCAATCACTAGATTATCTCACCCAATGATAAATTATGTTGTAAGAACAAGCAGGTTCTCCATAAACACTGCAAATTTCAATGAATAAGGCTATTAGGCAATTTGCCAAGTTTACAGTGAATAAAGATGTAAAACGGAGGTTTTCGTTTGTGAACTTTGTTTGGTTTCGTCCGGAATGCGAAACATATTTTATTTTTGACTTCATAATCAAGCCAAGCGTCACAAGAAACTCATCTGGTTTGTTCGAGTGGAGATATATATCTCACTCTGCCGCTTATATTCCTCTTACTCTCGCTCCTCCCCCCCCCCTCCTCTCCCCCCTCTCTTTCTCTCTCTCTCTCTCCCTCTCTCTCTTTTTCTCTCTCTCTCTCTTTTTCTCTCTCTCTTCACCTTTCTGTGTATGTGTGTGTGTTTATGTGTGTGTGTGTGTGTGTGTGTGTGTGTGTGTGTGTGTGTGTGTGTGTGTGTGTGTGTGTGTGAGTGTGTCTGTGCATATTTTTTTGGGTAAGTGTTTTAAGGCGCTCGTAACTGCATAAGGTTATATGATCGCTCGGGACACACCAAACATTTTCATTTGGTAGGATATTTTGAATTTTGCATGGATGGAGGCCGAAGCCTACTCTTATCAGTTTTAGACCACCAAGGGATCTTTAACGTGCGCAACTTGCACACGGGCCCTCCGAGAATTTTCGCCCTTGTCCGAGAAGGCAAGGAGTAGATCTTTCCTACCAAAAGATCAAGGGTGTGGCTGAAAGACAGTGGTAAAAAGGAGCCAAGGAATTGCAGTAGAAAGACTGCAGAAAGAGTTAGGAGCCCAGTGGACGGGGCAAAGGAGGTGAGGGGGTGTGGGAAGAAAGTGGAGACGAAAGAAGGCGACAGAATATTGCAAGAGAGAAGGAAAGAAGGTGGAAGAAGACAATTTTAGAGAAGAAAATATATGCATATACATGTTATGTGTGTGTGTGCGTGTGTGTATGTGTGTACATGCGAAGTATTACTATCGCTATATCCTCCTCATCCCTCTTTTATTCTTGATTTCACTGCTGTGGTGTTCTAATTGTCCTCAGTTTAGTCAACTGTGAATAGATACATAGCAATTGACAAAGACTTTAATGTTCCCAACAATGGCGCTAGCCCCTAATAATAGTAACAGTACTTATATCTATGAATAGAACCAAATGCGCCTCCGTGGTGTATGGCCTCCAGGTCATAATAATTATCTGACCAACGAAGAGAGGCTTGGTAAAGTTGTGTGAATCTGCTATGAGAAGAGGAGCACTTGTTTGATAAATTAAAAAAAAAAAAATTTTCTTTCTGAATGAATAAATAAATTCAATTTCTATTGAAAGCTGAGGTGAGATTTGTTTACAATAGTATTCATAATATATAGATTCTTAGATACACGTATAAAAACAATATGTTAATCACTACCTCAGAATTACGAAATCTGACACTTTGGCCGTTTTCGGTTACTTGGACCATGAGGTAAGAAAGCATGTTTCTGCATATCTGCTCTATCGAAAGCGTAACAATATTCGGAGTCGTCAAGATCTTCAAAAATTGCTCTTGAAAAAGCTTTACATATTGTGAAACTAAAAAAAAATGTTCGTCAAACTTCTCAAAACTAAGTATTGAGCAGATAGACTTTGTAATTTTGAGGTAGTGCAGTGTTAATTAATTCACAAAATCACACTTATGTAGATTATAAACATTCTACTGCTGGTCTCCACTGCAGTGCTCTGCTTTTACTTTAAGTCATGGTTCGAGTTTTACAGCGCTGGCAACTACATAAGGTCACTTAAGCGTGCACCCCTGTTTTAGAGCAATGGTTATCATAATGTCTTACTCAAGGACAAACAAAATCCAATTGACCACCCATCTAAATGTCGCGTCAACAACAGTATTGTAAGCCTTAGCCCATTAACCCGTTGGCCGTTGGAGTAACTTAATGGCTTCAAACGTTAAACGTTCGCTCACCAAAATGGAAATGAATGACATAACCCATCATATTATTGATTATGAAATTGAAATCTGCTGCAATTCTATATTGTTCGGGGTAGTGGTATTCTATTCTCAATACCCTCTTTCTATTTCTTTGACTGTGGGTGTGGGTATGGGTAACTTTATTCCATTATTTCTTAAATTTTTTTGGTTTACATTTCTGTTCTTCTTTATCCTAGTTCGTCCTGAATGGAGTCGAGTTCCGCACACGTCACAACGACTACCCTCTGCGCATGGCGAGCAGGAAGTCGAAGAAGTACAACGTTGTGCAAGAAGTGAAATTTCCCGACGTCCCCCCGGAGGTGTTGAACAAAACGACAGTGCAGGAGCAGGTAATTTATGCGATGTCCCCGCTTAGATTCGCTTTGATTAATTCTTCTTTCCAGTCTGACAGGCGTCTGTGGTGTAGCGGCTAGGAGTTTCGCCGTCGAAAGCAGGAGACTCGAGTTCGATTCCGGAGTGGGGAGAAATCTATATCGAGTTTTTTCTGTCTTTTTTTGCTGTGATGCCATGGCCTTTTCAGCCCAGGTTGGTCCTGAAAGCCTGGGTCTGAAGTCAGCCCTCAAATAAATTATCTAAAGTGTGTTGATGGTGGTGTAAAAACGCTTACATTTAGCTAAATATAAGGAAACATTAAAAATCTCCACTCTGTTGTAAGCACGGCTCGAACAAAGCTTAAAACCATAACTTAATTAAATTTTCTTTCTGTTTAAATATTCTTCAAGAACCAGGTCTCAGCTAGACATCACCTATCAAGGTTTACATCACATTTACCTGCCTGGGTGCTCTTAAAAAACAGATATTATCCTGGTTATTGTAACGTTTAGATATTCTAGACCTGACTAGCAATTCATCTCTATACCTATAACTATCCATTATGTATGTTTTTATTAGTGGTGATGGGGAAGTTAATACCACAGATAGAACTGATATGTGTGCCATTAAAAGGACCAAACTCTAGAACTAATGTTTTGTACCATTAAAAGGACCAAGCACTTCATCAGCCCTCTAGCGCTGCACGGTTAGCTCAGTTGGTATCGTGCTGTGCCACTGATTGGACTGATCGTGCCCTATATTACGTACGCCGTTCATCCTGTTTCCTTAAACAGCGAAGGTGCCGAAATGTTGCTGTGACACACAGCGTTCGTCATGCTTTGTGGAGGTTATACTCTGCATACTGCTTCTACTAGTTGCATTTCGGAAGACTAATCGCAGATTCACGTTCAGCGCTGCTTTTTTTTCGTGCAAGGAAATCGTTTCTTTTTAGAGATAGTTGTATTTGCAAACCGGGTTTAATTATAGACAACTGACCTCTAAATCTAGCGTTACTCTTTGTCCCTGAGGATTCAAAACTGTGCCCGGTAAAGCACAAACTTACCCTGTATCACGAAGGGGTTTAGATGACCCTGTTTTAAATCCCAATATTGCTCATCTTAAATTTGTGTCAATAGAAGGATTGTCAATGTTCTCCACGCAGTCCTCGTGGCCCTGGGTTCTGTCAGAAAGGTATGTTAGATGATGAAGTATGGCCTCTCCACTCTTCAAGGACGTTGTAGAAACTTATGATCGACCAACAGCGAACCAAAGGCAATATTGCGGCACATTTTCATTAATAAAACATGACAATCAGACACAAATTGCATATTTCACAGTTTGCATATCTCTCCCTGCCTTTTTATTTTAAGGTAAATAAAATAAAAATGAAATAAAAATTAAGTCTGAAATGTTCCAAAATAGCGTACCCTCAATGAGTAAGATCTCATTGTCTTGATAAGAGCGTTGAACCCATACAATACAGTTTCTTACTTCCCATCAGGATAGTG